ATAAAGAGAGAACGTGCGCGAAGTCCTCGGAGAGCATTTCCCGATACATCAGCTGTTTTGTGAATACAACGCGTGGTTGCGATACCCCCGGACTGGGAATAGCGTGAACTATCGGGAGAGATATTTTTATTCAAAGACGTGTTTTATATGTGTCAGCGCTTTCTCTCCGACAATCTTTCTATAAAGATTCAAAGTTGCCTTTGAAGCGAGCTCCACGATGAAATTTTTTTCTATCACTATTTTAATTAATTCAAACGTCTCGTATCTTCGCGCGAAGAATATATATATAGTCTCTCGAAACAATTTTATTTAGTCACACCTCCAGGAAAAAAACTCACATCCCTTACGGTCTCTCTCTCTCTCTCGTGCTATTGCGAGCGAATCGATCGCCCGTTCGGTTCCAATTGCGTACCTGTACAAATTTAAGTTTGAATGCCAGGTGGTGAGAAAACAGGTGTCGAAATTACTAAAGCGATCATCGCGCGATCAGAAGAAGTCCTTTCGCGACTACATAAAACTCAAGGTCTATTTCCGATGTCTTTTACATCTCGCTCGAAGTAACTTCCCGTAACGTTTAATATTTTTTTGACATAAAACAGGAAAAACGCGCAGCGCCTCCTTGACATTTGAACAATGAATAGCGCAAAACATTATGTAACCGCACATCAGAGTTAGACACAAACGATACGTAAACATCGCAATAATTTACATCGTATGTTTTACTTCTTATTGCGCTACGGTTGCAAAATCCGCTTATGCAAGTCTTGCGTGCGCGCGCGCGCGCGTGTGTGTGTGTGTGTAACAAAATTGTATAATTAATTGTGTAATTAATTACTCTCTCAATTATTAATTTCCGCGTGATTGTCGTCGTGGAAATTTTGCGAGCAACCGCATTCAAATTTTCAACCCTTCTCGACTGCCAGCGCGGGGGTTACGTAACGGCAGTGGACGTTACGTAACGTATCAAACGTATATATCGGAGATCGCTTAAAGGGAGTGTTTGGATTAAACACGTCTCTCTGTCGGCGACGTCGGCGCTGTATAAATTTCTACGCGAAGGTAAATTGAATTTTTTACCGAAAATATTATAAAAAAAAGAAAAATTACGCCGTTTCGCACAAAATCACGATGGACAAAACAAAAAGTGGATCTCGGCAATAAGTGGGACAGTAGTAGCGCAGCTGCCAAATGAAATTTAAAATACGATTTTGTTCGTCGTTTTGAAGATTCGAGAGAAATATATCGCAATTGTTCTTCCGCCGATATGTTTCACTTTGATATATTTTATTTATCACTTCGATGTATTCGTCACGTATATATATCACCGGAACCTCGACAATGAGACAATTTTTTTCATTTTCGTTGATCATTTTTGCGGAAACGAATTGCGTCGAATTCGAAAAAACACACCTATCGATCGTCGTAATCACCGATAATAACTGATTACACATCGTTTGTAGACACACCGTCGCTACATCGATCTGTTTGATCTCAATTTCTCAAAAATAATTATTTTCTGGAAAATTTTAGCGAGAAAAAAACCAGAAATGTCTCGTAGACAATTAAAATAACTAATCGATATATCTCTTATATCGCACAAAATTGTAAAGAAAAAAATTTATACCGATAATAAACTTATGTCAAATCACATATCACTAAATTACACAACAATATGTCGAAATTTAAGACCAATTGGTCGAGAGCCACGGAATCCGAGGAACGTAATTTAATTTCAAATACTATCTCTTTCTGTTGTTCGAGAAAAATAAGATCGAAACAACTACGTGAAACTAGAAAACAAAGAGATAAAGAAACTTTCTGATCAAGTTTTAATAGTGTACGTGAATTAAATATCAATTTATAAAATTAATAATTAACTAATAATTACTACAAAAAGGTAGCGATAATTTCGTTTCGAATTTTTCCTAGCTTCTGCCGAATATGTTTCCTCGTCCTAGCGGATAACAACAAAATCGCTCGAGATATATTTGACTACGTGTATGACACAGGCGACATGTCACATGTATCGGCATTGCGTGCATTCAGCGCCATAATCGTTTTTATCTGCGATAAAATTATATAACACTAACATTACGGTGTGTGTGTGTGTGTGTGTGTGTACGCGCGTTAATAGTTTTAACTTTAATTAAACGCTACTTGAAAATTGTCCGTGTAACGATTGCAATGAATGGTTGCAAAGAAGACGCGCGTCAATGCGACGGATTCTGTTTGACGCTTAGCGCGAACAAATATTTTTCACACTAAATATATAACACACACTATTTTCGCATAATATTATTTGTCAAATATTACACAAACGTAACAAAATGAAAAATCATCGCCATTGTTATCTCCCATTTGTTATTGCGAACACAATTTTTCGATTAAAACAACAAAAATGAAACGAATGAAATTCGATGGATAAATTGACGTTTGCTGACACAAAACGTCGCAAAATTTGAAGAAAGTGTTGTTGTAAAACATGTAAAACTACAAATTCCACATTGCGTGGGTTTAACCGCAAATAGCGTACCTTAAAGGACAAAGAGGAGGATGGCTCCAAGCCAGAGCCACTCAAGAAAACGAGCAATACAAACGAGAGAAGAGCTCTCGTGAAAAGAGTGCGCGCGTTCCCCTGACACACATCGACGCTCTTGTTAAAATAACGACATAATGGCTAATTCGACGATAATCAACAAAATGTATTGTTCGAATTAACATCGAAGGTGAGACGCGGGAGCAACGTGCGGAAAGAGGGAGCGCAAAAGAATTCAATGCAATTCCTTCATTTTACACTACATTTCAGTTGTTTCTCATTTCTCATTTCTCTCTCTCTCTCTCTCTCTCTCTCTCTCTTTCTTTAAATTAAAGCGTGTTGCAACGCTGAAACTTGATTCACAGATCATCGCGCAAATATCAAATGTCGTTTGCTGCACAAAAATAATAAAGAATGTAGCGTAAAAAATTGTGTTTTGTTTTGCTTTTTGATTAAAAAAATCTGACTAGAGATAGTTAAATTATTAAGGAAACTAAAAGTAAATGATCTGTCAGCAATATGTTGGAAAAAGCAGATAAATCCGATTGTAATTGTTGTAAAAAAAACTTATGCAATCGTAAGGTAGCAAATTGTGCGCAATGCTTGTAGATTTTCTGTCTTCAATCATAAAACACTCTTTTTTGCGAGTGCCTTCTGACGAATGCGAGACGTGTTGTTTGAATCAATTTCCTCGTCCCATTAACTATTTTTTGCCTTGTTTTTTTTTTTTATCTTTATGTGTATTTTCGTATTACATAGTCATTAAAAGTCTCAGTCAGTTTCATTAAATAATTTCTATCTTTTCCACGTATTCTTCTCGGTTTAAAAAAAATCTCGACGATGTGACGTAAACGTGCCGTGTTTTTTTTTTTTTTTTTTTTTTTTAATAAAAACAAAAACTTTTTCTCTCCTTAATGCACTCGGAGTTTTTTTTTATTGAAAAGCGAAGAATGCGCGCCGGGAAATTATCCCATAGTCAGCTAATATTACGGACCCCTATAATTATACGGCTTACAAAAAATGGGAAAAAAAAATTCCGATGCGGTCTACGTATCGCGTGTCACCATCTTGTGGCACACGTGCGAAGCGACTCGTTCTGGTCACGGAGCAGCTCTCCGCAAGCGGGAGGTTCTATTTAAACCGTGTAAAATTGCTCGTGCACATCACACAAATTTGTCGTAGCCAAATATTGGTACGACGTACCACGAGCAAGCAACAAATTGGCTTGTACCCTCGAACGTGTGTCAAAATTTTTTTCACGAACCTATCGCATATTCGTCGCTAATTAGGGTCTCTCCGAATGAGACGGTGAATGAACTTTCCGTGTTTTTGTGAACACGCAACAATAAGCGTAACGATTTTTCTCGAAGATCCGATACGTTCAAGGAAATAAGTCACAGTTCTCGCAGGTCTACGATTCAAATGAAATAAAAGAGACGATTGGGTAAAGAACGCAAATTACAATATCGACCGTATACGTTAATTCTTGTTTTAATTTGCTTTTTTTTTTTAATAAACGTTTTTTAACGCAAGTTGTGCATCAATCTTTTTTTTGTTACTTTTATTTTTCAGAGACATTTCAGTGCAATGGAATGTAACAATATAGTGACCTCGGCGTTGTGTATCAATAATCGTCACGACCAATCTCTATTTGCAAGCAAACGTTATCAGTAATTGCTGTGTGACTCAATTTCATAAATTAGAGCATTGTAAACCTGATTAGCTGGTAGCGAGATATATTTGCCGACGGATATATTGGCCGTCAAAGATATATTGAGAGACATCGTGCGTCAATTCACATTCAATAACAATACTCGGAATTTTCGCGCAAAACGAGAGAAAAACACGAGAAAAAAAACTTGAATTTCTTAAACGTTGAGACATTTCGATTTCGTTGATCGCCGAAAGAAATTTCAAGGTTTCTCGCGTGTTGTGGGTAGGTTTTAAATTTTCTTGAAACAGAAATAAGAACAGGAGGTAGAAATCGAGGGATGTGAAGGGGTTCGAACGTGGACAAACCGCGGACGAGAGACCGTTAAAGCGGACGGAATTACGGAAGACAGGGCGTGGTTATGTCGGACAACGCGACGTTCCTGCGTGAATAGATCGGCGCACGGCGCCTTGCGCGGTAACTTCACAACATACGGGAGTCGCGCGTGGTGGAGTGTCATCCACCGCCGTGTTCGACACTCCCATTCGTACACACACGATCATCATCTGACGAGACAAATCGGCAATAGTTCGCGAAACGGGCGGCGCGCGATCAAATCTCGCGATTCAAAATGTTACGGCGGAGGATTGCCGTAGTAGCTGAAAACGCGAGACACATCGACGACCCGATTTCGTCTCGCGCGAGCGCGACATCTTGACGCTTCGCGCTCTTTGGGAACGCGTGACCGATCTCGGTCACGGATCGAGAAAAAACCATCACGTGTGAGAGAAAAAAAAAATAATAAGTACTGACCTCAGCAGCTAGCTTCCCCTTTGACGCCATTTTGACAACAAGCCGGTGGCACTCGGGCACTGGCCGATCTGACGTTTCCTCCGGCTACCCCGCTGCGCGCTTAAAGGCGCGTGTTTCCCTCGCACTGGTGTCACCCGCGTGTTTTTCCAAAACACCGATGACACTAACGTGGTATATAACCTCTCTCTCCGTTCGTGGCACACGCGCGGACCGTTTGCGCGTAACTCAACCCACTTGTTTTCTGTATGGCCGAACACCACGAGCCGTCTGCGCTCGCGCAGTACACGAGGAGTTCATCAGCGTCGTCCGCCCGGGAGAGCGAGCGAGAGAGAGCGAAATTCCATAAAGGACGAAACGATGGAGCGAGAAAGCGCGAGATGACGTCACAAAGTGACGCGCTCTTCCTCGTTCGCGACAATCGGCGAAAATTTTATACACGAGCGAACGGCGTGATCGTTGCGCGAATGGAAAAGCCGGGAACACATGAAAAAATATTTAAGCAGTTAGACTCGAATGAGTCAACCAATCGCGGATCAGCGTTTGCTCTGATGTAAGCCGCGTTCGAAAGAACACCCCGGCCTGCGATTGGTTGATCTTCTTAATGCTCGAGTCTCATTAAGTTTAAATATTTTCGTTGCGTTCCTGGCTTAAGAGGATGCTGAACCGTCCTGTTTTACCATCATTTCGTAGTTCCATTTTTTTGTTAAAACTATGAATCGGAATAAAAAATCCTTCTCCAGAAATAAAGGAAATATAGTAAAGAATGGGATAAAGCCTAAAAATTTAAGAAAAACAAAAAAAAGTTTTTAGACTGTTTTTACAGAAACTACATTTTTACTTTATATGCAAAATTGGCCATATAAATCCAAATAAAAATACCTTTATCCCAAACT